GCCTTGTGTTGCGACCAATTCGAGTTGCAACCAGAGTCACGGAACGGATTAAATTCGTAACTCGAGGTACCACTGTATATGCTTGAAGCAAAAAGGGTTATACAGCACATGCTTTCAAAGTGTGGCTGTAGGACCTGGTTTTGCAAAGGTATAGCTGCAGAAGTAGAAAATGATGGGAAGAAAAATAGCAATAGAAAAGGACACAAACAGATTTCTGCTCCTTTTTGCTGGATTGGAGAGTACGTGACCTCTAGTGGAGATAAGACTGCAGTCTTAACTCATCACTGCTTCTCTTTGTTTCCTACAAATCAATTGTAGCTCCTCTGATTTGTTCCAACTAATAGAACAGATACATTTTAAATAGTTCAAGCATAAATACTCAATAGTCATAACACCAAGAAGGTATTTATCAAGAATATAACCTATCAACTTCTAAACTGGGGGTGGAAGAATGACTTACAGGACCTCTTAAGAGCCAGAAATCCTCTCAATACTCAGCCATATATATCTAGTAATTGCACAAACCTTAGAACAATATGTGGAATACAAATTACGTTACTCACCGGGGACTGAGTTTTTGAAAAGTTTACGTGAGCGTAGAGGAGAACAGCAATATCCTTGTGCCCCGCATCAAGGGCTATTGAAAGGGCTGTACTGCCATCCTTAAGAAAAAGAGAATAAATGAGATAAAACATGTCAATCTTTTTAGAACATTGCTTCCCCAACCTGGCCCTAGACCTACAACTTCCAGAATTCCCTGTTGTTGTGACTACAGGAGTTACAGTGCCAGCATATTTGGAAGAAAATGGATATATTCTTTTAAAAAAAAAAATCCACAAGAGTCTTCATATACTAAAAGCTGCTGTGATTAAGTTCCTGCTATATAAGCCAGCCAAAATAATAGAGTCCTTTAAAAAACTACTTAATTTTAATTAAGGGATAAACTCTGTGATTCTGTTTTATGAAGCAATCCAGCAGTCACCATGGGTTTCAAATTTCTCCCAACCAGGGTCCTGGATTATTACCATAAGAACCCTGCAAATAACTGTGAGACTCTGTTTCCAGGGAAAAGAACACTAATTCAGGACAGTGAGAGCAAGAAAAAACATAGAAAACAAAATCTTAAATTAAAAAAAATGTAAACATTGCCTGTGATAACTCCCATTAAATGAGACCTATGTTTAATTTCCAATGCTTCTAAAGAGCTGTTTTTTATTTACATGTATGAATATCATAGTTGATAAAAAAAAAAAAAAGCTATGGCACACTGGAGTTGAATATAATTAAAGCCTCCACTGGAGGACATTGTTTTAACAGAGCATTTACCTTTATTTCAGCTACAATCTCTCTCTCTCATCTACCTATTTACCAAGCAACTATGACCTAAAACATGATCTGAGCTTCATCTAAATTTAATAGAATATATTTATCTATTCATAGAAAGATATACTGATTAAACAAATAATAGCAAAGAGGTGCATTGTGGCATGTGTTTATTGAACACACTGAGCCAATATTCACAGACTTGGAAAAAGTATGTGAAGCCTTAGGACATTTTTTAAGGGAGTAGGTTGAGTTAGATTTTCTATCAATAAGATGACAGGTGTGAGCTTGAAGGTACATTCTCCTAAAAAAAAATGTTGGTTGCCACCATCAGAGTCTGCTCTTCACACACAGGTTTCTAGTGAGTCACTGGTCAAGAGAGATTGCTGTGGAACTAAAGAAAAGTTGTTGATGCTTATGATGCTGGAAAGGGCTATAATATCATTGTTCAAAATGCTGGCCTCCATCAATCCACAATCAGACAAATAGCACATCATCAGAGAAAATGCACCATCACCATAAGAGAAGCAGTACAGAGAAGATGCCTATATCAAACCCAAAGCATCTTTGCTTGCTTCAGATCCAAATACTATGCACCTCTACATGTAAGCAGCAACCAAACAGAATTCAAGTATTTTAATGACAGCTGGATTTCGGACATATCAGATGCATATTTTCAGTTTACGTTCTACCCTAAAACCATTTCAGCTATGATAAAGTGGAATGTGATGAAGTACTGACAGTCTATGGAGGTAATTTGAGCCAGTTTGGTGTAGTGGTTAGGATGCTGGACTAGCAATTGGGAGATCATGAGTTCTATTTAGTCCTCCCTTAATATGAAAGCTGGCAGTCATTCTCTCAACCCAACTCACTACACAGTATTGTTGCTGTGGGAAAAACAGGAGGTAGAAGCATTTTGTACACAGCTTTGAGTTGTATAAAATAAAGGTGGGATGCAAATAGTAAACAAACAACTCACATTGTCTTCCAGGGTGCCGTTACATCCAGGTTGAGCTAGCAAAAGCTTGACTATCTCAACATGCCCATGTTCGCTTGCACACATCAAAGCAGTGGAACCCTCATCATCTTGAATGTTGACATCTGCACCACAAGCCAACAGAGCTTTCACCATATCTATTCGCCCATGGCTCACAGCAAGCATCAGAGCAGTCTGACCAGCCTGCAAGGCAGAAAAACCCAAAGGAGATCCATTCTCATATTTTGGAACAGAGTTTCACAGCAGAGAATACTGAATTCTACTTAACAGAGAATACCAGCACCTATATTTTTAAATACAGAATTAAAGGGCCAACATGTTCTTAAATATGAATCTGTTATACACACTTACAGAGAAAACATGTAATATCAGGGCACAGGGTTTCATACAAGTTCTACTCAGTTCTGAACCAGCAGCCATTTCCTCCCTCCAAGGCTTCATACAAGGCAATTTATTCCTAAGCATTTTAAAGAGTTTACATTAATGTTCATGGATTTCTATTCATTTGGTTCCTTACTAAAGATATTTTAAAATAAAAACTCAACATGAGGATAGAAGTTTGATTATATTGTACAAATTAATTATAGATACCAATCAGGATATCATAGATTTAGATTTCAAATTGTACAATGGTTTTGTGCAATGTAAGCCTCCAGTGAAAAAGGATGTCAAAACAGAACACATGTGAGGACCTTTCCAGAATGGTCTCCCTTATCGACAAGATGTTACTTAGTCTTCTCCAAATACAAACATGTGAAACATATCCTATTAAGCAGTGATGGCTTTGCATAGCTACAGTTTCACTAATTTTAATTATTTCTTCTCCTTTTTGAAAACAGTAAAGGGAAATTGCAAATAAAGCCAACATTTTTTGCAAAACTTCTTTTAGAAGCAATATTTGAAACATGATTTTTTCAGTGTCAGCGTATCATAAAGCAACAAAGGCTGGGAAATTACTCCAAATCTTTTTTTAAAATATAAGAATGAAATGTGGTGGGTAATATTGTATTTACCAAGCAAGATGATGCTTTTTCTCTTGCAGCCTTCCTGAAGCAGATATCCAGATGTTTTGGATCACAGTTCCCATAATTCCCCCCATCCCCACCCCAGCATGACCAGGGGTTGCAAGTTAGGGAAGGCTCTTTTATTTTTCTATAAGCATCTACCAGTCTCTGAATGACTGAGATTGATTGCAGCACACCAACCTGGCTAGCTTTTGCATTCACGTCTCCACAGGCAAAGAGTTCTTCCACTATTTTCATGTCTTTTTCTGCCTCTACAGCTGCAAGAGCAGCCAGCATAATAGGGGTATAACCAGCCTTGTTTTGGTGATTTACATTACAGACATCTGCAAAAAGATAGATGAGAGAATCTCGTGAGAAAGTTGAAAGCTCAGAAGACACAATTGTGCAAAAGAACTGAATCAACTATTATTAGAGCAGTCTTTTCCAAGTGCGGCAATTGCTTACATAATGAAGATGATTCAGAAGAACTTGCAAAGGATAAAAGAGGGACAGGAATGGTTCTTGAGCCAAGTAGAGAAAACAACTCTCTCTTTATAGTATGCATGATAGGAGGGCTGGAAAGAGGGCACAAAGCCACAGTTTATGCAATGGCTAAAGACAGTAAACTTAAAGGCAATTGTTTTAAAATTCTATGAACTCCCACAAGTACCAGTTTCTGGCCAGAATTTCAGGTACATAGGGATCCCAGTCTCAGTACGGAAACATCACATAAACAACTAAATAGTGCCTAACTTTAAATTTTAAAAAAATCCCTGCATTTTACTCTACTCCATTACATAAATATTTTAGCAATGCTTTTCACATTTCTAAGGCTTCCAGAAATGACGTATTTGTATGCATTTAATTCCTCAGAAGAAATGGCAGAACTACTTGCACTGAATTCTTAAAGTTTCCATCCTAATCTGCAATGAGATTTGCATAATCCACACTCCAGTAGGCCTGTAATATGCTTCCTGGAAGGAATTAACTTCATTAACTTCTACTGAAAAATGATCTGTCTAGAAGCAATAGGAATTTCTCTACATCCACAAGTGATATTATGAGATGATGTGAAACAATGGAGAGAAGCTAAAGCATACATTCTCCTTTCTGAAATAACTGTGGTTGATTAAATCATCTGCTATTGTTTAAAAGACTTCCATGAACTGAAGTAAAGGGACATCAACTGAATACAAGCCACCTTCAGTTACGTGGTTCATTGTCAACTACAGTTTTAGGGCAGCTTTCCATTGCAGATTGTATCCTTAAAAGTTCAGTTATAAATAAAGCAAAGGAAAACATTTAAGCTGAGCATTCAAAGGGAAAAAGTTAAAATATAAATACAACTTGGTCTCTCAAAGTAAAAATAAAAATGTATTAATCCATACCATAATTTAATTGGCATTCTGTTGTCAGTGTTCAATAGTCCTCAAATTCATACATGGAAACTCATCTTTAAAATACTGTGAGAGATACTAAATTTCTTACCAAGATTCAGGTGCTCAGATAAACATAAAACCAACTAGGTAATTTTATGCCCAGTTTTTACTATTTTGGTTCATAAAGGTATACTAAATATCTGAAGTCTGCATTTTTACTTCATTAAAAGTTTGTTTGAATCCTAAGTAATAAAATGTAGTTTTCAAATGAAGCAGCAGTCATTCAACCATGGGAGCAAGTAGAGGCTTCAAGGAATGGCTTTTTGGAGTGCCTTATTGCCACTGAAGAACTACTGTAGTTAGGAACAAGATTCTTAGCAACTAAGGAAATAGTTTCCAAAGGGAAAATAGCAAAAACAATTTAATTTATTTGGATATACAACAAATTAATGAATATTAAAACCTCCTGTATTTAGAGGACAACTGAGAATAATATTCTGCTGGAACAAGATGCAGTATATGCAAGGAACCGCCCAAAAATTCCAGAATAGCCAACTTACTTGCATCTAAAAGCAGTTTCACAATTTCAAAGTTAGAGTGGGAGACACTGTAATGAAGAGCTGTGTTGCCATTTCCATCTGCCATGTTGATGACTTGTCTAAGGACTGCAGGAGAAACCTCTTCAAAAGTAGCTATGTAGTCCCCAACCATGGCAGCAATAGCTGATTTTTGACTTGATATACGAAACCACTCATGTTGGATGGTGTTTAAACAAAATCGCTGCCAAAATCAAACACAAAACACCTCAAAGCAATGCTCTATTTATAAGATGTCATCTTCATAGAGAAAGTAAAGTACATGAAAACCAGCATTTTTTTTTTTGCATTAAAAAAAATTATTCTAAGCTCAAGTGCCCAACTTTCTACCCAGGGACAAGACACAGCCATGGTGAGTGGTGTAGCCCAATGCTTTGTTTGTGTTGTAGTGTCTGGGTGTTTTGTTTTGTTTTTTTACTGGCCACAGCTACCTTTTTGTGAGAATGCTCCAAATTTCAAATGTAGCAAATGGACAAAAAATGGGGATTCCTGTTCTAAACTTCCATATATTTTTGTATAATTAAGTTCTCTCTTTAATTGTTTTTACTTCTGTTATAGTTTCTGATGTTTGTTTAAAAATATCTCATTACAAATCTATACAAAGTTAACAGACAATATTGACTGACTGATTATGTGTCATCAAATTGGTGTCGACTCTGTGACTGCATAGTTAGATTTTCTACAGGAGGATCTATCCCCAAAACACTAAATATAATGGACACAAAATATAAATACATATACTTTAGGAAAATGTATATTTTCAAATGCAACATATAAACCTTAAATTAATGCATTAGTATCATCATGGATCCTAATATTCTAATATATTTTCTGTTGCGTTCCTTCTCTCATTCTTACCAAGTTGCTCAATTTAATCCTACATGAGTTCTTCCAAATTCTATTTTTTCCAATTACATGACATTGTAATAAAAGCTGCCATTAATAAATGCATAAAACAGTGCTGTAAAACTAAGAACTACATATGTGGATCTGATTGGGGTAAATTGTAGGGGTGATACAGAAATATGAATTGTATTTTCTTTTAGTTTTGCCTTTTTCTCTGTTATGTATGGTCTAATTATCGTCTTGTATTTTGTGTTTTGATATGGCCTTGCGGCTAATCAATAAAGTATTATATTCTATTATATGAATAATCATTTAAATATCTTATTTATGGACTAGGTCAGGTATTTCAAATTTGGTGCCTTCCAACTGCATTGGAATTTCAGTTTATAATTCCCAGAGAACATGGCGAATATTGTCTCTGCAGTGATTATATCAGTTGGAATATACAAGGAAAAAACAAATGGAAAAAGATGGGCAGAACTTCTCTAACAGTTTGAGATTATTTCTAAGATTATCAGCACACCTACATGGTTCTTTGTATAGCATATTTTGTTTTGCATATTGGTGTCTAGATAAATGTCATAGTCTGATTACTGTCAGTAATATAAAATTCAACCAAGTTTATTTTATAACTTGGGGGAAAGCAATTGATCCCCATGTTTTGTCTCATCCTGAACACAAATTCCAAACTATTATCACAGATGTTTTGATCCTGTAGATGCCTTTGAAACATCATTTTTAGACAGGCACAGTATACTTAACTGTATTTTTAAGGTCTGTTTGATAATGGCAGTGAAAGCTTCAGCAGTATCTCTGTATATAGAATAATTTTTCATTAAAAGGTACATAATCAGTTGAAGGAAAGCTTCCTACAATGGCTAAGATCATTCAAATTATTTGAAAAGACACAGAATTCAGTAAATAGCTCCATTCTGTTTCTAGTATATATATTTATTTGCAACCATAGGTTTTAGTAAAATTTGTATAAAATTACAACAATCTGTATCAGTCTAATACACCCCCCTGTTATTAACAGCATTATTTGTCAACATCTGCTTTCATATCTTCCTTGCAGCCATTGCAAACAATGCAACTTGTTTTGTTACATGTTCATCTACACTCAACAGGAAATAGATTTTTTTTCTTCCAAACTAGACTGATTCAGTTGGATTAACAAAGAAAAGATGAATCTAGCTCTAGGTTCCTGATGTAATTTGCAGTGTAATAAGTAATGGATCAAATCTTCCACCTGTGAGTTACTTATTACAATCTATTTGTTTGCATATCACAAACACACTTTCAAAAATGAAGAGATGGAAAGACTATGTATTTCTGTTTTTGGTAACGCAGAGAGCATATTCCACATCAAAACACAGATACACTTTCATAGTCAAGTGGAACATTCACTTCCTACCCTAAATATTTTTCCATACTTGTTAGGAGCATCCAGATCAAGAACATGACTAAGTGGATAATACTGTTGCTTTTAAATGCAATGAGATTTTAGCTAAGTCTGTGCAATACATTTGTAATATGTATTTTGGCTGTACCATCTACCAGCATAGCAAATTTGAGAAAGGCAAGCGGGTTGAAGTTTTCACACAGAACTAAAAGTAGCACTGCAGAAACAAGCCCACCATTATTAATTTAATAAAATTAAATAACTTTATTTCAGCATGTCTGCTTATCTTAGTACCAAAATGTGCCATATATTAGTCCACTGTGATTCAGGATTGGTGGAGCAGTTAGCTTTATTGCACCAACAAGCTTGAATAAAAGAGAACATTATTTGCCACTTCCAGGGATATCCTTCCTCTCTCCTAGTCATGAATTATATGATCCATTCAGGAATATGAAAACTTGTAACATGAAGATTGAGGATTTTTGTGCTGCTTTTTCACTGACATATTTCACAATCAGCAGCAACCTTCTCCTTTGGATTAACGAGAGTACACAAAATATGCAGACTTACTATGTCTTTGCTGCTCATGGCCTTAGGATCATCAATGCTGTTTTTCAGAAGATGACACGCTGACAGCACCTTTTCACTCAGTTCATATCTGAAAAAAGAAGGCAAAAAGCCTGTTTAGCTAAATGTTTTTTTTATTATTATTATTTAGAGGAAATATACCCTAGCACACTCCTTACTAGTTCCTGGAATGTACAATCTACTTTGGCTACAGAAGTCTATGGGAATTTCTCTCTGAAAGAACAGTGCATTATACATCAAGAATACAATACAGATCTTATTGAAAGAGTAGATGGGGAGGGAGACAGTCCATCTTCCAGGTAGTAGCTAGTGGTAGTTAGGCATCTACACCAACTTTTCAAATATAAAATAATAATAAGCAATCTCACACAAATTCTTATTTTTAACCATCATTATATAACTCACTGGTATTTTTTTTAAGCAATACAAAATGCTGCAGAAGATAGTATATAACATTTGTGAAGATATGTGGGATTCAGGCCTGTCACAATACAATGAAAAACCCAGGCACGTCCCTAACATATATACTACAAAAGATATTTATTACAATGTAAGCATTTCTGGCAAGGTTTACCTCAGGACATTCAAGCTGTAATTATATAATTTTAGCATGAGCTAATTGGCAGGAAATGTTAATCTTTTGAAGATCACTATTTTAATGACACTAGATGAGTTAGGTATTATTTCCAGCCCTATGGTTGTATAAATTGAGTGGAACACCTTTATAGCCATTCTGTTAATACTTGGATGGCTCTCTAGGAATTTTTGCTCAGTCTCATGACATTTACATTACATTACAGGATTTCCATACTTCTGTTTCATCCTACATGCTATTTAACATCTACATGAAGCTATTAAGCAAAATCATTCACATATTTAGAGTCAATGGGCACCAGTTTATATGAAATTATTTCTCCTTTTCATCAGATCCACATGTGGTAATGAAAGTTCTGAATAAGGGTCAATAAACTGACGAACAATCTGAACAGTTTGTCTGTCTGTGTCAGTGGTGGTCAGTTTGCTTCAGAAGGGACTGTACTTTCTTTAAAAAACCAAGTTCATAGTTTGGGGGTGTTTCTAGATCCATTTTTGTCATCAGAGGCACAACTGTCCCCTATGGCACAAAATATTTTTTCAAGCTTAGGCTAGTTACCAGCTATCACCTTACTTGGATAAAGATACCTTCCCTAAAATAATCCATGCCCTATTTAACTTATTTTTTAGATTACTGCAATACATGGGGTTACCCTTGAAGACAGAAGAGAAACTTCAGTCAGTCCAAAATACTGCAGTAAGAGTATTTTTTTAAAAAATATATTCATTTATTTACTGGACAATTATAATAGCCTCTATATACCCAATAAGATTAAACAATATATAAAAGAAAACCCAAAATAACCCAGGAACTGTTAACAAACAATTTGTACACAAACATTCATCCTGACTGTAAATGTATTATGTCAGTTTTATATGGTCATCACTGGCTCCCAGTTAGTTTCTGGTTGCAATTCAAGGTGCTGGTATTAGTATATAAAGCCCTTCCTAGCTTGGGACCATATTAACTGAGGGAACACCTCTTTGTGTATATTCTATCTGAACCCTGGGATCATCTTTGGAGACCTTATTCATGCTGAGATACTGGGAGTGGGGATGGGCCACTGTAACATTAATAAATGTGAGGACTGTTCACAAAACTTTTTTTTTTAACTTTGAACAGTCACTAAATGAGGCAGCTGATAAGCGAGGACTACCTGTGTATTGTGAGCCACCCAGAGTTGAAGTTGGATGGCACTTAAATTGAATCAATCAATTAATTAAATAAATATTAAGAGCCCTAATGGCAACATTTAATAAATGGCATGTAATTAAAATAATTCATTATGGTTTAATGTAAATTGTTTTTGATAGCTACCAAAATATCAAAATCAGGGCATTTCTTCATTTATTTCTTGTATTTTTGTGCTTTTACTCTTTCAAATATTGTGATACACTCTTATCTCTACACATTAGTAAAATCTTACAAATTCAATATTGTAGGTATTTCACATGGTCTCATTTGCAACCCATATTTCTTACTCTTATATCTATACTTATAGTGCAGGAAATAATAAAACACATTATACTCTGGTTTATCTCAAATAGCTATTTAATATGATTTACTAATGCAAAGTGTTCAGACAGAATGAGTAGCAACAATTTAACATTCACATGCTGTGCATCTGCTCTCAGATTTGCCAGATCTCTGGAACTTCTGGTGTGGATTCATGGTGGACTAGATGTCCCTGAAGTAGCAGGGATGGCATTGCAGTGGAGATTGGCAACCAGATGGTAAATTCTGGCCAGAAAAGTCTATCTGGAAAAAGGAGAGATTGTGAGACTGCCCACATGTACTCTGGCCAGCTGCTCCTCCTGAGTAGACCGCAGGAACTGAGGTTTTTGTGGTCTGACCTGTGAGTTGAGTGGCTGGAAGTCAAGGGATTTCAATCAAGCTCACAGCCATAATGTAGCCTATATGGACATAAGGTTCACTGAGCCTAATTTCTTAATCACTTTCAGAAATTACTTCTTAACTGCTTTTGAACTATTAGGAACCTTTGGATCCACAAGTTTGATAACACTCACCAGGTGAGTTACCTTCAATCTTAGTGAAAGAAATTTTAAATACAAGTTTAAGGACTTAAAAAAAATCTTCCTTTGGAATAAACAGCAAAGGGTGATTAGAATGTTGATTTTGGAAAGTTACAAATGGACTAAGGATCCAGATGGATT